GCATGGCTGGAGAAGCAGTGTGCCGGTGCGTGCCCAGGATCCAAACCCGGGCTGCCAGTAGCAGAGTGTGCGCACTTAACTGCTAAGCCATGGGGCCGGTCCCCATTAACTTATTTAAAAAGTAACCATATAAAACAGTAAGTATATAATTGTGCTGTTGAGTGGATAACATATAGCAATATAATATATTTGCTAATAACATCACAAATGATGTGGGTAGGTAGAAAGCTGTTTTGGAGAAAGGAAATGATACCAAATGGCAATTTGAATCTGAGGAAGAAATGAAGAGAACAAGAAAGGGTAAATAAGGTTAATATAAGAAATGCTATAAATATATGCTTGCTCTCCTTTCTTCTCCCAGCTTCTTTAAAAATTTTATAAAGAAATAATTGTAACAATGTGTTGTTGAGTTTGTAACTTTATAGATGCCATATGTATAATAATAACACAAAAGGGAATAAACAAATAGAGCTATATAGGATTAATATCTAACTCACATTGTTAGTATAAATCTGAAGTCAATTCTAAGTTAAGGTGTCTGTGGTAAGCCCTAGAGCATCCACTAAAAAAAATTACTTAAAAAAATGAAAAAATCAATGAAGGTTTCAAAATGTTATACTAGAAAATATTCACTTGATGCAAAAGTAATATGATTAATATTACAAACATATAATACCATATATATGATTATAATATCATAGTCATATAATATAATCATAATAATCTGATTAATGTTAAATGATGCAGTGGAAATGTGGACAACATGCATAAACAAGGAGGAATTTCAGCAGAGAGATAAAAACTATAAGAAAGAATCAAGTGAAAATGTTATAAATACAAAAACATTGTAGGAGGGGTGAGGAATTCCTTTCATGGGCTCATCAGTACACTCAACACAGAAGAAAGAATTAGCAAATTTGAAAATAGGCCATCATATACAGTTCATGTTTACTAATTTTGCTACAATCTAATTATTTGGGCCATAATATTTTATATTCCCCTCAGAAATGGATAAAAGCTCCTATTCTCCAGCATTCACATCAACACTTAGTATTCCCAGTGTTTCACTTTTTTCCCATTTGATGGATATGATACGGTTGGTGGCAAAGTAAACTTTGACAAATTACTTAACCTCCTTTCTCGTCTGTTAAATGGATGTAATACTACTTACCTCACAGGTTATTGCCAGGATTGAATAAAAATATATAGAAATTATTAAGTACTCCTGCTAAGTACCTACAATCAATACTTGTTCCCTTGCTCCTACATGCTTCCCAAGCATTATCAAAGTTTCCTGCACACAGTAAGTATTCAATATATAAAAATCAATTAAATGATATAAAAGTTATATGCAGTGTCTTTACTGAAAAAACTTTGCTGATGTTCACAGAACAAAATAATAAAGAGCTTAAGAGCAAACTTTGGAGTCAGGTGAACCTCAGTCATATTGTAGCTCTGTTTAGTTTTGAGAATTATTATCAATATTAATAAAACATGAAAGATATTTCAATTAGGCACAAAGAAAATAAATATGTGTGGTGGCTATCCAGACGACATAGGAGTTTTAATTACATGTTACTCCGTTCTTATTCCTTATATCCTAATAAGGAACATTAGTATAAAACAGAAAATTTAATATTTTAATTTATATCCTATACATCCATATCTATGCATCATTAAGTATGGATATAGAGTAATATCTATAGAAAATAAAACAGAAAATGCGAATGTCTTATAAGAGATATGTAACAGATATTATCTGGGTAAACATCTAACTTTCACCCAGGAACATTTCCAGAAGAGAGACAGTTAAAAATTTTCTTGGTTGGAAGCATTCTCTCTAGTTTTGTTTTGTTTTTACTATGAGCATATAACTAAGAATACAAAGTACATGTTAACAGAGGCCAATGTTTAAATTAAGGAAAAATTGCAACACATTCGGTCTGACATACCTCAAAGTATACCTAAGACTTATTTTCTAGTGTGGTAATTACATGTGAATAAGGAGTTCAAATAAAGTTCTATAATTAGTATTTCTCTTTTAGATATCTGTATTGATTATCTCTGTGCTCAGCTGTGAGGAACAGAGAGAAAAAATAGAGCAAGAAGCTATTGAGGTTCCATGGTGAATATATAGTAGTGGGGGGAGGGCATGAGGCATCTCATTCCACTTTTATATAGGAGACGCTTGCAGTTTGGGAAATTAGAGCCCCCAGTGATGGACATATCTGTCTCCTACCTCCCAGTGTGAAGATGGAGCAGGCCTTCTGGTTGAGAATAAGCTTGGCTTGCTGGGCAGGGGTAGAGTGATAGTGTTATGGACTAAATGTTTGTGTCCCCTCAAAATTCATGTGTTGAAGACTTAGCTCCCAGTGCAGCTGCATTTGGACATGGGGCCTCTAAGGAAGTAATTAAGGTTAAAAATGAGGTCATTAGGATGAGGTCTTGATCAAATAAGATTAGTGTCCTTATAAGAAGAGACACCAGAGCTCACTTGCTCGCCGTCTCTCCCCACACACACACAGCAAGGAAAGGCCATGTGAGGACATAGAGAGAATGTGGCCATTTATAAGCCATGAAGAGAGCTCTCATTAACTATCCAGAACCTTTGTCTTGGGCTTCTCAGCCTCTAGAACTGTCAAAAATAAAATTCTGTTGTTTAAGCCATCCAGTCTGTGGGGTTTTGTTATGGCAGCCCAAGCAGACTAATATAACAGTAACCTTCCTTCATTCAGAATCAAAGACCAAACAGGAAAACCTGGGCATTTGTACAAGAGATGTTTCATGCCCTATCACTAGCCCCTTGACCTGGAACTCTCCTTCTCTTCTCATATCCTAGAGCATTCAGAGAGGCAGTTTGGGACATTTCATCACTTAAAGTACAGGAGAGAGGGCCGGCCCCGTGGCTTGGTGGTTAAGTGAGCGCGCTCCACTGCTGGCGACCCGGGTTCGGATCCCAGGCTTGCACCGACGCGCTGCTTCTCCGGCCATGCTGAGGCCGCGTCCCACATACAGCAACTAGAAGGATGTGCAGCTGTGACACACAACTATCTACTGGGGCTTTGGGGGGAAAAA